CCCCAAAACCCCAAAACCCCAAAACCCCAAAACCCCAAATCAAATAAATTTGGTTGGAAATGACTTTTATAAAAATGAACAAATTGGCTCTTGTTGTACTTGTGCTGGTGGTCACACTGGTGACATCTTCAGAAACAGAAGATGCCCATGACTTCTATAAGTACCACTCCTTGATTAAGAAGTACGGAAACTCTCTCGATGAATTCTCTGAGATTGTCACCCAAAACTCGACCGAAGCCAAAGTGAGAAAGTACTGGGAATACCGCAAGCAGATCATGGCAAAGGACCAGTCTTACAGATTCACAAGGGATGTTCCCACTTTGACTCCAGACGAAGAAATTGTTAATGCCTACCTTGAAACACTGAGGAACGAAGTGATTCATATTGACGATTCTCCATTGCTGTTAGAGTTCTTTGAAGGACAGAAGATCATCAAAGATACAGAGCTTCATGAGTTCTTTAAGAAAATGCCTAAGGGAGGGCAGATGCATATTCATCTTGAAGGTGCTGTTGCACTTGATACCTTCATTAGCTTCACCTACAGCGATTACGTATACTTTAATGTTGAAAAGCAGGAGTTCAAAACAGTCCCTAAAGGCCTTGATGAAAAAGGATTTCTAAGGTGCAATGAGCTTCGACAAATATGGGGATCGAACACAACATTCGATAACTATCTCAGAAAGATCTTGGTCTTACAGCCTGAGGATATTAGCTCCAAGCAAGATCATTTGATATGGACTCCATTTGAAGGAAAGTTTATTCTAAACGATCCTGTTATTCACTACTATGAATTTTATAAACTTGGCTTGTTAGATTATTGAAGACAATCAATCAGAGATGGTATCTACATTGTTGAGATCAGACATGCTTCAGGAAGAATTTTTGACGAAAATAATAAAATCTTATCTCTTAAAGATGAATTTGAGCTGTATAGATCTGCTTTAGAGGAGATTAAACAGGAATATCCAGATTTCCAACTCGCTATAATCGTTGCTTCCCTTAAAAGTAAAGGTGAAGAACATGTCAGAGAGCAACTAAAGAGCTATCTATACGCAATGGATCATGGATATGAGTTTGTCACAGGTTTTGACCTTGTGAATGAAGAAGACTTTGTTCTGCCTATTACTACTTTTATTGAAGATATCATTAAAGCTAAAGAAGGATATCCAGACTTTAAATTTTACATCCACTCTGGGGAATCTAATCTTAGAAGCAACGAAAATCTCTATGATGCGATTCTTCTAGGAACCAAAAGAATCGGCCATGGGTTCAACCTTGCTCTTCGGCCTCATTTGATTGATCTTGTAGTTGAGAGGGATATTGGATATGAAATATGCCCTATCAGTAACTACATCATGGCTTACACACTTGATATGAGATGGCACCCAGCAAAGTGATTCATTGCAGAAGGAGTACCTGTAACTGTGAATTCAGACTGCCCAACCTTCTGGAATTATGAAGGAGTCGCTTTAGATTTCACCTATGCTTTCCTTGCTTGGGAGCTCGATTTGAAAGACATAAAACAGTTTGCAATTAATGCAGTGACTCACAGCTCCATAAAGGATGAATTGAAGCCAGCAATGTTAGAAAAATTCCACAGAGATTGGAATAAATTCATTGCTTCTGTGGTTGAAAGCCATGGAGATTTATCAAAACTTTCCTAAACTGTTACTCAAATTCTTCTTCTTTTCTAGCTTCATAAATATCCAAATCAACATATTTTTACATGATTTTTCAATCTCCAAGACTATAAAAGGGGTTTTGGGGTTTTGGGGTTTTGGGGTTTTGGG